TGATAGAGGTTGGAGAGGACACGCCCCCACAGACGCCAGCAGTGGGTTTGAGACTCGGAGATGCACCAGGGAGCACCCAGCAGGCAAAGGAGAGGCTGCAGAGAGAGGAGGCCCCTTTACCGTCGTCAGAAAAGACTCCTTCGCCAGAAGGGAGGGCAGCTGTAAGGAGGGAAGCTTTGACATTGATTGATAGGCACCTAGCAGCTTATGCCCTGGAGCATCCAGACCTGGAGGAGCCAGCACCTGCAGAGTCACGCCAGGAGTCATGCCAGCCCGAGAAGGAGATGGAAGCAGAGATACCAAGGAGGGTCGACCTCCACACGAAGGAGAGGGCGCCGGCTGGAGAGACGGCTGAAGAAAAGAGGGCGAGAAGAACAAGACGAATAGATGAGATATGGCAGGAGAGGCAGAGATTGGAGGCAGCGGGGGAGCTCCCGGAGCAGCAACAGGAGGGGCAGCGATCAGAGGCAGCAGGAGCACTCCCGGGTCAGCCACTCAGCGCACCAGCTAGGGCCCCGGAGATTCTTGAGATATGGAGAGACTTCTGGGAGCAGAGAGGAGAGGAACTTCCATCGCCAGTCAGAGCCGGGTTTGGGGTAGCCAGGAAGGCGGAAGAGAGGTTAGATCGTAAAATCAAGTTCCTGACCAAGACCACTTTTGACCGACACTTGTTATTGGAGGGCGATCTGGCGGGGAAGAAAATGAAGGAAGCCAGCCATGGAGTACGCTTGGAGGCAATGAAAATGGAAATTCAGGAACTCAGGGCCTTGGTGGCCAGCCAGACAGCTATCATCGAGAGCCTGAGGCAGCAAACCCAGGAAAGGGTGGACAGGCCAGAGAGCAGCAGGCAGGGAGAGCAGAGGCAGCCGGGACAAGGATTGCCAGGACAGCCATCTGCAGCAGAGCCTCGCCAGGAGCCACCTATGGGGAGAGCTATCCTGGAACCAGAGGAGGCGAGAGCCCGGAGACAGGCGGAGAGAGAGGCATTCGAGTTTAGAGCCCCTACTGAGCTCGCGACGCTGCCAGTGGCGGCGGCAGACCCAGTCGTACCCTTGACAGTAGAGGAGGGGCTGCCACCATCTAGCAGTGAGCCGTATCAGGGTTCAACGGAGGAATCCATGGGCGTGCTCCTTGAGGCAGTGCATACTATGCAGGAGGAGGTGAGTTTGTTTTTACCTGAGCAGAGGATAGAGGAGCCTCTTGAGAAAGAGATGGGGATTAAGGCAGAGGATGCTATCGAGAGCAGACTCCAGAAAATTGGCACACCTGAGTATGGACCAGAGGAGATTGAGGAGCAGCCCACGACAGCAGCCCACGACAGTGCCAGGAGAGACACTCGAGAGGAGGCCTCAGAGGTTGGACACGCCTGAGTACGTCCCAGCGACGGGGGACTTGAGGAGTAGACTGGGATCTTGGGCTACTGGATCTGGGTCTGGGGGACCGGTTCCTGGGACAGAGCGGCAGGAGGTTGTTAGTACCTTGGTAGGATCTCCTCCGTCACCACCTCCTCAGCCCAGGAAGAGGAAGTTTAAGAGGAAGGTTGACCAACTATGTTTCTACTGCAAGAGGAGCATGCATTATGCTTTGGA